GGAGCGATGAGCCAGCCAGGATCCAGGTATCGGTTCTGCCCTACTCTACTCGGAGGGTATTTTAACAAGGAAGATTCAAAGCAATAAACTCCAAATTGTCCAAGTCCAGAGGTGAGCTGTGCAGTCCAGGGAGAAGAGCTGGGCCCCAGGGTCACGGGGCTCGGGGTCAAGGCCGGCCCCGGTGCAGGTACGCGGGGAACCTGGGGCATTGGCTCTGATCTCATCCATCCGAGACAACGGTGTGAAGTGTCCCGTGTGGGGAAAACATTCTAGGTGGTCTTCGGAGGCACAGGTGACCCTGGACAGTGTCCCCAGGAGCTCGGGTCAGGCCGGTGCCAGGCAGGAGTGGTGAGGCTGGAATTCAAGGCGGGGACACCTCATGCCGACCTTGTTATATTTCTCACTCTGAACACATGACAGGGTCACCAGCCAAAAGATGTGACAAACACATCTTTGTTTTATTTAAAGAATCTCCTGGGCACGTCCGGCTCGCTTGGGTCAACAGTAAGTGGCAGTCACTACTGGTGGGAGCAAGTAGATGAAGAAAATAACCGTCCCCCTGGGGTCAAAGAGGAGGCACGTTTCACATTTTAACTAAACAGTAAGTTCTCCAAAGACGGCAGTTCCTGCCGTCCATCCACCGGGGACTGTCCATCAGCCTGCGCGTCCCTGGCACCGGTTCTCGGTCAGACCTCACGGCTGCCCCTCCAGCCCGCTGGGGATGCTGTCGGTCACATGGTGCCCGTCGCCCGGTCCTCGGCCTGCCGTGACTGCGTTTATCGCCTCACTGCTGTTCAGGAACCGTGAGCCGAGTCCTCTCTTCTCCACAGCTTGTGTTTCCTCTCACACAGGGGCAGCCGCACTGACATCGCCTGCAGTGTCCCTCTGTGGCCGTCGCCGCCCGAGTCCCACGCGGGAGGGGACTGCTCCTCTCAAGATCCTGAATGCCCAGCCCAGGGCTCCGAGCGCCCTTGGCCATTAGCAACGGCCCGGTGTGCACTCTTAAAATGCTCCGGGGTCAGATCCAGGACAACCCCGATGCCCTGGCAGGACTCAGGGAAGGGTCTTCATTTCTCTTTCCGAGCGACTAAGCCCGCGGTGGTCCCAACCCATCCCAGGGGGACCGTCTCACGACTCCTGTCCCAGCCGCAGTGGCTGAACCGCAGCTCCCCGACCCTGGCATTGCTGAGTTCACTGCTTTTAAGCCACGGGTTCGACCTTGGTGCAGTCACCCTTGGCCGGACTTTCCAATCGAGACCCCATCCCAATTCCCACCTCCCCCCACCCGAAAGGCAGGGGGGCTCCGCAGGTCCCTAGAGGACCCCCCCCCAGCTGTGTGGGCCCGAGGGTGAAGCTGCCCCTTGATGTGGAGGTGGGGTCAGGAAGGCAGAGTTCTCGGGGGGATACAGAGCCTCGCTGAGCAATACCAAGGGGAAGGGATGACGCCCACAGCCTCCCCACGATACCATCACTGCAGGTTTGTGGGATGCAGGTCACAGCAGCCCAGACCCTGTGTCCCAGGGCCCTGCTCCTGCACCCAGGTTCCCAGGACACAAGGACACCAGACAGCCCTGCCCAGTGTGAGGACCCGGGACCACGCCCACCGAGGCTCCAGGGGAAGGGTGATAATGACTCTGAAAAACCAAAGGCAGCCCTGGTGGCGTTGCCCAGTGGTTAGAGCGTCCGCCTGCACACTGAAGGGCCACAGGTTCAAATCCCAGTCAAGGGCACGTAACCTCGGCTGCAGGTTCAATCCCTGGCTCTGGTCGGGGTGCGTGCAGGCGGCAATCAATCCATGTCTCTCACATCAATGTTTTTCTCTCTCCCCCCTCCCTCTGTCCCTTCCACTCTAAAAAGCAACGGAAAAAATATCCTTGGGTAAGAAAGAACAAAAAAAACAAAGAAAAACCACAGGCAGAGCGCTGGTGCAGCCTCATGGGAGCCGCTGAGCCATCGCTCGGTCGGTAGGTCAGGGCCTGGCTGGTGTCCCAGCCCCTGGGCGTGTCTGAGGTTCCTGCAGCCCGAGGGCCCCCCTCCCGTAACCCCAGCTCGGGCGGATGGGCCGGGCACCATCGGGCACTTCAAATATGACGCTCACAATCTTTTCCACAACCCAGCATGGCTTGGGGGGGCACCCCTATCCCCACAGCAAACCCAGGTGCAGGTGTCAGGCCAGGGCCCAAGGTCACGGGGGCCGAAGGACTGGGGTCGCTTTCGTCAGGACCCCGCAGCACAAAAATTAGGGGAAAATAATAAATGGAGCAATTTTTCAAGCAAGCACGTACCTGAGAGTTGTTCTTTGCTTCAAAGTCACCGCTTCCCGATCTCTTCTCTTGACTGAGTTTCTGGTGACTCTCTCGGAGCAGGTAACAGACCAACCACTCATAGGCCGCCAGGGGCACTGCAAGACCGGAGACAGGAGAAACTGAGGAAGGAGCAGCCAGCGGGCATCCAGTACGCGGGTAAAGACGGAGCGCCCCACGGGTGCGGAGAGCATCTGACAGGTGTCCAGGACTCGGGCCCCAACAGAGGGCCCCACAGGTGCTCCTGTATGGCCGCCTGCTACCCAGACGTGCTCCTCCCGACCTCCGAGACCCAGCTTGGAGCCGGCTTCCTGGGAAACCGCAAGTGCACGGCAGAGCTCAGCCGGCATCTCTCGTGCCCCAGGGAGGGCTCGGGACAGTGGCCCCGCCACGTGGCCAGGCCCCTGCCAGGAGCAGCGTGGGGCTGGCTGACTTCATCTCCTCCCCGCCCATGACAAGGGACACTGAGGCACCGTGGGGTTCGGGACCCAGCCCGAGCCGCACCCCGGGGCAGCGTGGACCCCGCCCCCCTGCACACACATACACACAGTTGTCACAGCAACAAACACACGGAGCTGTGATTACTTAATGTTTTTGCAAACAGCCAACTACAGAAGAGATGGGCTCACATCACGAAGCGATGGCGCAGGTCGGCGGGTGAAGCCCATCCTCCCGGCTCCCGCGCGAGCATCTGCCTACATCGGGCCCTGACGGAGCCGCGCTTGCCCCTCCCTCTCCAACCGTCTTACTCCCTGCAGGACAACCTCCTGCCCTTCCGAACGGGCCTCGCTCGGTACTGCAAAGGCCTAGGGCCTCCAGTCCCACCGAGCTCCAGGGTCATAAATCTCTTATGCAGTTTTTAAAAACGAGGCCAGCCCCAAGCTGTGGGGCTGGATGACCGAATGCCCTGGAGACGGGGCCGGCCGTGGCTGCGCTCCCTTTTCTGTGCTCCGAGGAGAGTGCCAGGGTGCGGTGCCAAGCCACTCTCGCCAAATAACTTTTAGTTGTGTTTTTTTTTTCCCTCCAGAAAATGTTTTCACTTGGTTGGATCCTGCAAAAATTAGGGCACTCGGAGGAAAAACAGATGACGCTGCCCTGGAGCCTGACCCGAGGCTGGTGCAGACACTGCCTCGGGTCGGGTGTCGGGAGGGACCGGCGGGCGGCGGGGCCGGGGCGCAGCGGGTGCCCTGAGAGGCTGGCGGCGGGTTTGCTTTCCGTTTCACGGCCGGTGGCGGTTTCGGGGAAGAGAATGTTCTGAGCGGGGTGACGTCGCTGGAAGGGTGAGGTCGTGCTCCAGGGCCCTGGTGACAGTGGGGTGGGCGGGGTCAGCAACCATCAGAAACGCCTTCCGGAGTGTCCGCTGCGCCCCAGGCAGGCGAGCGGTCAGGTTAGCGAGGGTCAGAGAAGCTGTCCCAAAAGCTGGCGCCCAGGGAGAAACTTGCGAGAAGTTTCCTGATGATGACGCTGATGACTGTGACCATGATGACAATGGTGACGATGACAGTGTCCGCTCTCTGTCGTTGTCACCTCTTCGGAAGAGCTTGCAGCTGCTGGTGCTATGATGTCAAGCGCTCTCTGTCCTTCGGTGAGGGAGGGTGGCCGCTCCTTCACCCAGCGGACCCAGCAAGGTCCCCGGGGGACACTCACACTGCGGTCTCCTGACCGCCAGGCAGGGGCCCTCCTCCCACGCCAAAGGCGCTCTGCGTACGGTATCCAGTGGAATAAATGTCACCTGGAGGGTAATTCTGTGATTGAACAGCTGTAACAAGGTTGGGTGTCTGTAGTCCTGGGTAGTGATTGACCGCAGGGTGCCCAGCGCCGTGCTGAGCGCTTTCCATGCATTGGCTCCTCCATCCCCATGGAAGCCGACTCAATAGGAACGGCTGTGACCCTGGGAGCAGGCGAGGAAAGCGAGGGAGGGGGTGGAGGGGCCAGGAGCAGAGCCGGGCGGCCTGGGGGAGCCCCACGACCCCCTCGTGGCAGGAAGGCTGCTTGTCCAGTTTCTTGGGGTCTCACGGGAAAGGTTAGCGCTGCCCAGTGGCTGGGACACCGGCTCCGTGACCCAGCCCCAGCCCACAGAGCACGTCTCTGAGGGAGCGCCTGGGAACAGGTGTGGTCAGTGACCGGAGCAGGCTCGCCGAGTTCCAACGGACAGATACCGACGGGTGACGTCTCCACTCCGGCTGAAAGCCGCTATTTTTCACACGGGATTCGACAACAGAGTGGGTGTGGGGACGGCACTTCCCTCAAAGCCCCTGCCGGGGCTGAGACTGCAGGGAAGAGGGTAAAAGCTCCGACCCGGCCTGTCTGTGACATCTCAGCCGGATGGCCCGCCGGAGCCTCTGGAAGCTGGGATGGGTGATCTGGAGCTTTGGAGTGCACGGGCTCTGTTCTGATCTGGCTCTTGTCCCTCCTCGGACAAGCCGCTGGGTGCCCCTGAGCTAAGGGGGCATGTGGGGCACAAACAGCACCTGGGCCCTCCCCTGTGCCCCGGCCACTCCGTGCAAGTCCCGGCGGCTCCGGTCTGTGCCCCTCCATCACCACCACCACCGTCTGACCCCACCACCATCCTGCCCAGGCCACCACCTTCTCTCCCCTCCACTGGTTGCCTTTTCCCCCACAACAGCATTTCAAAGCAGACGACACAAACCCTGACCGGTCAGCTGCACTCTGGCTCAGAATCACCTAGGGGTTCCCACGGCCCTGGATGGACGTCTGTCCCTCAGGCCCCCACAGCCGGCCTGTTCTTTCCACTGAGACCTCAGCTGCAGGGCGACTGCCTCAGGAGACTGTGGCCGGCCCAGCCTATGCGGGCCACTACCTGGCAGGCCTCCCGCTTCTGTGACCAGGCCTCTGATGTGCCTGTGTGGCCACCCCCACGCTAGACTGAAGCCCGCGAGAGCAGGGACCCGGGTCTCAGCCACTCATGCACCCAGTAGGCTGCGCAGACAGGTGCTCAGAACACATCTGCAGAGTGAGCCGTGAGCCCTCCCTAGAGGGAGGTCAAGGGCGCGGGCCCAGCTCCCAGGCTGCGGGCCTGCCGGGCCGGGGGCTGGGCGGACGGGCTGCCTCCAGGCCGCCTGTAGAGTCAGCGCCTGCTCAGCGTCAGCACAGGAGGTGCTGGATGGAAGGGTGAGAGCGAACTAACGTCCAGGGCTCTCCACGGCCACCGTCACCCGCTGCCCCACACATGGCACCTGCGCCGGTCAGGACGGAGCAGACAGGAAGGGTGTCTACCTGAGGAGTCCAAGCAGTCCTGGAGGCTGGCCACCTCGAACCTCTGGCCAAGGATGGCGGGGTAGGCTTCCAGAAAGTCCACACTCTTCAGCGGGCTCTCGAAACGAGTACCACCTAGGAGTACACAAGTCTCGCTGGGGAAAGCCGGGGGAATCCAGGCACAGGGCATGCCTAGGGGAGGGGTCCTCCCCCACCCGCCTCAGCAATGACTTGGGGAGTTGGTCAATCACAGTGTAATGACACCTCCCTTCCTGCAAACACGGGGTCTATCTTGAGAGAAGAGCTAACTCTGGGGCCTGAGAACCCGGCTGTGTGAGTTCAGAGGCTGCTCAAGAGCTCAGAGGAGCCTCACCTGGGCCCCCACATGCCGGCAGGCTAGGCAGATAGTGCTCACCTGGGCCCCCACGTGCCAGCGGGCTGGGCAGATAGTGCTCACCTGGGCCCCCATGTGCTGAGCAGATAGTGCTCACCTGGGTCCCCACGTGCCCGGCAGATAGTGCTCACCTGGGCCCCACGTGCCAGCAAGCTGGGCATAGTGCTCACCTGGGCCCCACGTGCTGGCAGGCTGGGCAGATAGTGCTCACCTGGGACCCCATGTGCCCAGCAGATAGTGCTCACCTGGGCCCCCACGTGCTGGGCAGAGACTGCTCGCCTGGGAACCCATGTGCCCGGCAGACAGTGCTCACCTGGCCCCCACGTGCCAGCAGGCTGGGCAGATAGTGCTCACCTGGGCCCCCACGTGCTGGGCAGATAGTGCTCGCCTGGGCCCCCATGTGCTGGGCAGAGAGTGCTCGCCTGGGAACCCATGTGCTGGGCAGAGTGCTCGCCTGGGCCCCCACGTGCTGGGCAGAGAGTGCTCGCCTGGGAACCCATGTGCCCGGCAGACAGTGCTCACCTGGCCCCCACGTGCCAGCAGGCTGGGCAGATAGGGCTCACCTGGCCCCCACGTGCTGGGCAGAGAGTGCTCGCCTGGGCCCCACGTGCCGGCAGGCCCAGCACGTCAGGGCTGCCTGGCCCAGGTGCCCGGCGGGCGGTGCTCACCTGGGCCCGAGCGCCCGAGCAGCCCGAGCAGGTAGCCGCTGGTCTGCTGCAGCAGCACGTTGTTGTCGCCCTCGTAGGTGCAGTTGGGGTCGTTGTCGTCCCTGAGGCTGCCCAGACGGTTCACTGCAACGAGCGCACAGGCCTCCGTGTCAGGTGCCCGCGGGAGGCACGCCCGTCACTGCCTGGGAACACGGGTCCTGGGCCCCGCGGCCGGGACAGGACTTCCCACCTTGCTCCACACCCCCACCCGCNCCCCACCGCTGTCCGCAGCAGCGCCGCTGTGGGGACGCACAGGGACGGCCAGTGGGGGATCGGTGGGGAACCGGCCGCTCCCAGCCGAGCTGGGCGGCAGTAAGTGCTCAGGAGCGTGACGTTATCAGCACCCCCACACGCGGGGTCGCCTGGCGGAGCTGCCTGCAGCGTGGGGGTCAGTGACGGGCTCGGGGAGCTGGGCACCGCCCACAGCTGAGTGAACCCTTCACACAAGCAAGTCCAAGTACCTGAGAGCACTCTCGCTCCTGTTGTCTCCCCCGCTAGGGAAGTAACCCGATTCTTTCGCGTTTTATAAGCTGTGCTTTCTGGACCCTCACTGTTGTCGGGGTCGCCTTTCCCTGGCGAGAACGTTGCTGGAATGTGAGGCTGGGCTGGGAGGGGCAGGGAGAGGTGGGACCCTCACTCCTCAGGCCCACACTGCCAGGCTGTGGTCACCTGTCACACCCTGATGTTCCCAGGGTTGGACCACTGAAGGTGGAGAGCGGGGAGCGACCTTAGAGAGATAATTTGCAACTGACACCTAAGCCAGGATGAAGGCTGGTCGTGCCTGCTTGCTGCCGTGGGCCCCTCCGGCCTGAGCCCGGCGTTTGTCTACGTAAGGACACGAGTCGGGCGTTCCTGCTGTCTGCAGGGCTGCGGGGTCCAGTTTCCTCACTCTAAGCTATTTATAGCGTCTCCAGGAGCTACAACAACAAACAAGAACTACAAAGCGCATTTCTCGGAGAACAAAGCACGTAAGTGAGTAGCTGGCGCGGAGCCGGCGATTTCCAGCACGTCAGTGAGTAACGGGGAGAAGCGGAGGAGCGTGGGGTGCTCAGGGCCACCCCACAGGCAACCCCACTCGAGAGGTAACTGGGACGCACCCTCACCGGAAGGGGGCAAATATCCACAGGCCGCCACCGGGACGCTCAGCTGGGCAGGAAGCTGAGACGCGCTGGGCGGCGTGAAAGGCATGAACTGTCAGGACGGGCTCTGCCCAGTCCGTGGTCTGGAGTGTGCATGTGGCCTCCTCAGAGTGAGCGAGATCTTACCGATCAGTTACTTAAGATCGGGACACAGGAAGTTTGGCAGGTAAGCTGCAAACAATGATGGCTGTAATACTGACAATTCAGGTAGCAACAGCCGATAAAAGTCACTGAGCACGTCCTAGCTGCCCGGCACTGCGCTAAACNGTAAAAGTCACTGAGCACATCCTAGCTGCCCGGCACTGCGCTAAACACTTCTATCGTATTAACTCACTTAATCGTTGCAAGGACCTCGGCTGTGGGAGAGTATGGGTCCTGGGTTCAAGGCTGGCCAATGGCACGTACCTCGGTTGCAGGCTCAATCCCCGGCCCCATTTCACAGATAAAAACGCTGAGGCCCAGTGGGGTCAGACAGCTTGCCCAGTTACATTGCTAGTGGGCGGCAGAGCCAGGACTGGGTCCCAGGCTATCAGTTACCCCCTCTCCTATCCACACGCCAGCTTCCCAAACAAGGGCCAAGGCCCCTAAAAACGCACTCTCCTAAGTTTAAGAATTTTTCATCAGAACAAAAAGCAGGTGCCAGTTTACTGCCAAGTCGTTAACCAGAAAGTTAGGATCCAGGTGAAGAGAGAACCTCCCTTCCGCTCTGGTTTTAGGTGCGCTCTCCGGGGTCCTCCACGCTCATTACTCCGGGTTCCATGTTTCCGGGAACATCGGGCATCGGAACCGGGGGGCCTGTCCAGGCCGGGGGATGGCAAACTTGTTCTGAAGAGGGGCTCACAGTGAGCACCTTCAGGCACTGTTGAGACCACTAAACCCCACAGGTTGTAGTGTGAACCTGACCACAGACAGCGCGTGAATGAATGGGCGTGGCCGTGCCCCAATTAAACTTTGCCCATAAAAACGGGGGACAGCTGGTTTGGGCCCCAGGCTGTAGTTTGCTGACCCCTGGTCTGGAGTCAGGTGATAGGGGTAAGGACAGGAAATCGCCACATGCGTCTCCGAAACCTACTGGCCAGGTAGCCGTGTCCTCCGCATGCCTCCCGGCATTCCTGGATTCCCCGCTGGGCAGTCCATGAGGCCAGGGGCTTGCTGGCCGACGCCAGGGCATGGATCTCACGTCCGAGCTCTGCCTTGGGAGAGATAAACCCAAAAACAGGTGAAAGGAGGCTCCCACACCAGAGGGAGGGGCTGGGTCAACCGTGGCGTCAAAGGCACAAGCCCCTTCCTGTCCAACACACCCAACAACAGAAGGAGGAAACCCACTTTTAGCTTAAAAAACGGGATTCAGCCCTGGCCGGTGTGCTCCGTGGTTAGTGTCGGCCTGTGGACTGAAGGGTCCTGGGTTCNTCCAACACACCCAACAACAGGAGGAAACCCACTTTTAGCTTAAAAAACGGGATTCAGCCCTGGGGGGTGTGCTCCGTGGTTAGTGTCGGCCTGTGGACTGAAGGGTCCTGGGTTCAAGTCTGGCCAATGGCACGTGCCTCGGTCGCAGGCTCAGTCCCCAGCCCCAGTCAGGGTGCGTGTGGGAGGCAACCAGTGGATGTGTATGCCTCACATCGATGTTTCTCGCTCTCTCCCCCTCCCTCCTTCCCTTCCACTCTCTCTAAAAAATCAATGAATAAAATACCCTCGGGTGAGTACTTAAGAAGGGGGGATTCACTTAAGAATGGGTACACTGTGGTGAGACACNCCCTCGGGTGAGTACTTAAAAAGGGGGGATTCACTTAAGAATGGGTACACTGTGGTGAGACACAGGAACCGCCGCTCTGCTCAGCAAACGGGTCCCAGGGGAGAACTGAGGGCAGAGGCCAACTGAGGGGACTATGCCTGACGACTCATTTCTGACATGCATGTGACACAGCAGCAGCTGTGGAAGGTCCCAACCACCTCTGCTGAAAGCAGGGATCGCACACAATGTTAGAGGGTGTTCCTCTGAGGCGAGGGGGCCGGGGGACCGGGCCCCCATGTGGCGATGGCGATGGCCATCCCGCTGACTCTGCAGGGTGCCCTGGCCAGCACGCCTGGGCCTCCCGCGTCCTATAAACACCCTTTGCTTCTACTTGGTGTTTAACAGAAACAACTGGGGGAGAGAGGCATGCAGGCCTGCTAAGCAAGTGTTTCTGACGCTGAGGTCCTGCGGAGCCGGGTTAAACCAGTTTCAGGAAGAATAAACCGTGATTACACTTTATAACGTTATTAACAGGAGGCGATTCCCGTGTCTGCTGGCAAAGGGTTTGGGTGACTCACGCTGGGAGAGAACCAGGCTTAACCCCCGCCTTCCTGGGGAGAAGGCCTGCAGAGCCGGGCCCTGCTCCGGGCACCCCCTGCTGGCCACCCTGCGCCTCCAGGCCTGGCCTCCGGCAGCGCCCCAGGATGCACCAACGGGATACAGGCCTTTCAGGGGGCTGTACACACCCCACCCACGGCACCTCTAATCTGTTTGCAAACACACTGCTTGTGGCTCACAGGTTCCGCCTGCCCCACAGGCGGTGAGGTGGCGACGGAGGGGCAATTCGTACCCCATCCGTGCAGACATTCAGAAGGCTGACCTCGGCGGATTTGCAGGCCCGTTTCTGGCTCAAGTCCTTGGCTGTCAATCCCCATCCCATCAGTGGGATCCAGACCTTTGTGGGTTGTTTATGGAAGGATCAGAGCCCTGAAATCTGCTGAGGGTGCTCACAGGGATAGTGTAAAACATGTTCTCGGGACGACAGCTGAACTCACAGCCGGGTCAGGGGCTGCATCAGCACGTCCTCAGGGAACAGGGATGGGGCACAGGCCCAGCCTTCAGATCCGGGCTCCGAGGAGGTGACACAGCGAGGGAACGCCTGGGAGCCTTCACCCCCAAGGCCAGGGGCTATCATTGTTTTGAAAGAAAGGCTGGTTTAAGGGCCACTCACCTGTCTGGGGCTCCGGTCGTCCCTCTGAAGGCCTTGTTGAAGCGCCACCAGGTCCAGGAAGAGCGACTTGGAAAAGTGGTCTAAGGCGTAGGCAGCCGCCAGGTACGGGAGCAGGCGCCACTGCTAAAGGAAACAGGACAACCGGGCATGAGCACACCCCCGTGCTCAGGGAGACGGTGCCTCGCGGTGGCCCTGAGATCGGAACCTGGGAGCGAGGCCACAGGTCAGGAGTGATGGGAAGTCACCAGCCACTGTCCCACCGAACACGCAAGGCCCTACTCATCTCGGGCACTTCCACGAAATTCAGCCAGTTCCATCTCCCACCCCCGACCACCTTACTCCAAGGCACAACCGAGCCACATGCAGCCCTGCGTGCCCGGCTCTCGCCGCAGTCTCCCCCAAAAGTGACGAATGGCACAGTGCATGTCAGTCCCCCTGGGAACTAGCAAAACTGGCCTGTTACACCCAGACAGTGGGACTGACCGGTGACACCTGGTGTTTTGTGAGCCTAGGGGGGAAATGGGGAAACTGAGGCTCACGGAGAGCCAGAAGTTCCTCAGAGGCAGGAGCGTGTCTCAGCCAAGGTCGAGTGGATGGAGGGGGGCGAGAGGGGGAGGAGCCTGAAAAGACCCGGGAAACAGTCACCACCGTCACGGGTCGTTACCGAATGTTAAGTGCCTGACGTTCGGCCGCTGCTTCTCCCATAGTAACGTATTTAATCGTAACCACCCAAGAAGAGGGGCTAGAGGAAACTAGTGCACAGAGAGGTCAGTGCCTGGCCCAGGGGCACACAGCAGATGGGGCGATTTGGGGTTAGAGCCCCAGCATTGTGGCTCAAGTGGGCTCTCGGAACTGTTGAGCCACCCCAATGCCCAGGTGGCCAGATGCACGGTGACCTCGGGAAGCCCCGGGATTAGCGGTGGTGGGAAACGCATGCCACGGGCATGAGGCAGGGCGCTCTGCATCTCCTGACCAGCTGCTAAAGCAGATTCGCTGCTGTAGTACAAGAAGCATTAAAACAACCAACTGTGAAGGTCACAACTTCTTGAAGCTTAAACTCAAATGCACCTCTGCCTACGTGTAGCTTGGCCCAAGGCCTGGGCCAGACCTAGCCAGCGATCTCTGACAGGAGTCACCTACCAGATCAGTCCCCCACCGGATCAGTCCCCCACCTGCAAGCTGGGAACCGTGGTGTGTGTGGATGGCTGTTGGCCGTGATAACATGCACAGCCCCCTCCCCAGGGGATCATCGGCTGTCCCAGCTCTGGGGACCTGCTACTCTGAGTGACATCCCAGCGGACAGTCCTGCACACTCGGGTGGTTTCCTAGGATGGGATGAATGAGTCAGTGCCCTGGGTGCGCAAGGCCACCTGCCAAAGCCTGCGGAGCCCTCAGGTAAGAAGCACACACCTGTTTCCCCAAAGGGCGTCTCCGGCTTCCTTATTTGGGGCGTCCCACAGACTGCTTTTAGTTAAAGACCATTAACTAAAAGCCTCCCTGCCCAGAGGCTGCTGCCTCCCTGGTGACTGCTGTTCACTGCTCTGGAATTTGTCCAAACAGGTTTGCTCAACTCCTTGTAACCAAACAGCAGCTACCTGGAAATAGGGTGTATCTGTGGGTGCACCGGAAAGAAAACGGAATTACACTCGGGAGGCTGACCTGCAGCTGGTACTCGAGGACTGGTATCTCCTCCCCGTCATCAGTGGGCCCAAATTGTCGCCGTGTGGCTGAGAAACGCAGGGCGATGCACACGGCCAGCTTCAGGTTCACGACGGACATGCTCACGATGCAGACCCGGCCCGCGGACAGGCCGCCCAGGGACGCTCCCAAGCGCTGCCGGCTGTCCTGCGGGGAAGGGTGACCAGAAGCGTGGCCGGTCAGGGAGAGAGACGCAGGGATGGGCCCGGCGCATGGCCCAGTGGTTGTGCACTGACCATGGACCAGGCGGTCACGGGTCGACCCCCAGCAGGGGGCCTGCAGGAGGCAGCCGATCAGTGACTCTCTCTCACTGTTTCTCTCTCTCTCCCTCTCTCTTCCTGTCTGAAATCAATAAAAAAATGTTTTTAAAAAAATGCACATTTAGCCCAGCCGGGCCAGGTGTGACTCAGCGGCTGAGCGTCCACCTGGGATCCAGGCGATCGGGGTTCGATTCCCGGTCAGGGCGCATGCCCAGGTTGCGGGCTCGATCAATGACTCTCATCACTGATGTTTCTCTCTCACTCCCTCTCCTTTCCTCTCTCTGAAATCAATAAAGATATATTAATAAAGAAAAAAAAATTTAAAAATGCACATTTAAACTCACTGCCCGCCACAGTCTAAGCCCTCGCCTGAGCTCCTGCACCCTGCGGGTTACTGCTCAGCGGCAGACCCGAGCCCCCCCGGGACCTCCTCTGACGCTGTGAAGCCCCCCGAGTGCTGGGTGTGCACTCTCCCGCCCGCTCTCCCTCCTTCTCTAACTTACACCGTTATCGTCACTATTTCCCCAAACCCTCTCTTTTCCGTTCCCCGCCCCCGGGGGTTTCCCTGCCACTGGCTTGATCTCGTCCTCCATGGACGCCAACGATGGCTGACTCTCCTATTCACGTATAACTCGGTTATTTCTCCATGACCGTCTCCCGTTAAGGCACCTGCCTCATGCTGTTTCTCTCCTGATCGCCGAGCGCACGTGACACTGTCTCAGCGCCGGGGGTGAGGCCCGCTGTCCGGGCAGGGCCCTCGGCAGGCCTGTGCTCTGGGGACACAGCCGTCTAGGCCGTGAGCTGTGACCCCCACGGGAGAGTGGTCGGCTCCTCCGATGGGGGCTGTGACTGCAGCGGGCCCCAGGCCACACCACTGTGTGTGCCGCCCAGTGGATTTAGGGGGCGCTGAGCCCTGGACACCAGAGGACGCTGTCACCCCCATTTGTGGGCCAAGCAACCTTCCATCTTTGAACCCGCTGCGGGGAACAGCAGTGACGGCGGGGCTCCCTAACGAACCCTGAGGGCTGGCAGGGGTGGCGCAGGGGAGTGGAGGCTAGTGGGCAGCTGGCGGCCAGCGTCTGACATCCCGCCTGGACCCCTGGAGGTGTGGCTGACCCAAGCACCCCCTTCCCTGTTGGTGGCACCAGAACCCAAACCCAGCAAGGTCTGCCACCCCAACCTGGCTCCTAGGGCCGAAACCTGTACCTTGAAGCGGGTGACATAGGTGCCCTCAGGGGTGACGTCTCCAGTCCGATTCAGGAGGTCCTGGCGAGGAATCCTGACCTTGTGGAACATGGCAAACCTACGGGGGCGTGGACCTCGGGTCGGACCGGGCTGGCCCGGCTCCTCTCCTCCCGACACCCAGTCAAGTGAAAGGAGGGACAGCTTAGAAGGTGACAGAGTCCCCAAAGCCAGAAAAAGGGAGAGAAGACACCAGCAGACAGGAAATTTCAACATATTTCTATACAAAAAAGTTTTTTTTAAAAAGCGGGCATGTGTGGCGGGTTCGTGTAAAAACAAAACGGCCGTACACTGGTATTCATGAGACTAGGTCTTGGGGCTTCGTGAGCTCCTACGACAAAGGTGGCACCCCAGGGACAAAGGCCACTCCACGGGGACAAAGCTCAGCCCAGTGCCTTGGGGCCCTATCTGGGGGCGAGCCGCAGCATCAGGGCCTTATGGGGCGCTCTGATCGGCCGATGGAAGGCCAGAGGCCCCAGCAGGCCTATCGGGGCGTCTGATCTGATACCTTGGTTGACAAGAGCAGACTCGGCGCCAGCCTCCCCGTGGCCTCCCCCTCGACGCTCACTAGAAGCCGAGGGGTGTGTTTTCAAGGAGGATTCTGTAAACTCAAGTGCCGTTGTCAGGAGTGGAAGTCACTTTGTGGCCACACAGGGATGGCACAGTCTGAATATCCTCATGCCTGCAGAAGTCCTCTCGCGAGGCCCAGCCGTGTGGCTCAGTTGGCTGAGTGTCATCCCAAGCGCCAAGGGGTGGCCAGTTCAATTCCCGGTTCAGGGGCCATGCCGGGGTTTGGGGCTCGATCCCCAGCAGGGGTTGTGCAGCAGGCAGCCGATCAATGCTTCTCTCACATCAACGTTCCTCTCTCACCAAAAGTCAATGAAAACATTTTTTTTTTTCTAAAATCCTCACCTGGCCAGCAAGGCTCAGCAGTTGAGCATCAATGTTGATCCAGATCATGGTTCAATCCCCGGTCAGGGCACATGCCCAGGTTGTGGGCTTGATCCCCGGGGGGGGGACGGGGGTGCAGGAGGCAGTCGATCAATGACTCTCATCATTGATGTTTCTATCTCTCTCCCTCTCCCTTCCTCTCTCTGAAATCAATAAAGACATACTGAAGGAAAAAAAAGCCCTCACATGAGGTTACTGAAAGCACAATTTTGCACACACTCTTTTGAGTACAAAAGCTGTGGCAGGAACAGTCAGCTGGTGGCCAGACCGGGGGACCAGCCTGCAGCCAGAACTCCCAGTGTCCCCAAAGGGCACT